CAGTGGCCCTGTGTCCCAACCTCAGTGAATGTTGAGGCCCCACTATATATTCAGAGGAGGTTTGCCATTGCCTTTCCCCTAAGATTGAGAGAGTATGACTTGCCCGAGGTCACCTAGGGGTCTCTGTTGGTGAGCAGAGAAATGACCCTTGAACTCCTGGAGTGCTGAAATTGGAAAATCTTCAAGGTGCAGTCTCATCTTACTGAGAAAAAAACTTGCAGTGATAGCAAAATGTTTTCTTTGCAGCTCCAGACGCAGGATTCCTTGTTTTCGTCACCTATGTGAGCATTGCCTTACTCCAGAGCAGATCATTGGTTTGTCTAACCTAGTATTATTGACTCTGACTAGAAGCTGCTTTTGAGAGTGCAAGTCAAAGATTATCCCCAGACTGGCTGACTGAGAGCTCTTTTTGAAATGGAAATTACAGACTGAGGCCTCTCCACTTCTATTACCTTGGGATCTGGGGAAATACAGATTTTCCAGTTCACCTTCAGATCTTGGTAGGTTCCCACCATAATCTCCCAAGAGATCTGGGGTTCTATTTGGAGAGGATGCTCTGAACAATAAAATGCCAATGGTGATGCTTCCCCCAGATAACATTTTTTTCATGTAGCTGGCAGCAGAGAAAAGAAAATTCCCTTTAGAAGCCACATGCTGGCACTTGTAAGCATTATCACTTTCTGGCCTTCTCTTAGTTTTTTATGTTACATTTAATCTACACATTCCACTACCACAGTGAGTCTAATACCCACACTTTGTAATGTATTGATAAAAGGAGAATGGAGAATCCCTACACTTTTCAGCAGATTGTGTAAGGTGTCTCTCTCTCTCTGTACCTTTGCGTGTGTGTGTGCTTTCTCTGTCTCAAAGCATGTAATACTTACCAGAACAAATACAGCATCTTTCTCCCTCCTGAAGTATGTCCTAGTTTCACTAGAATACTTAGATACCTATCTATATTTTATCATCTTGAAGGGGGTGGGTTATGTCTTCAAAGATGTAAATGAAACAACAAACCACAAACTTAAAATCAACTGTGACCTTCACATACATCATGTACAGACAATGCAGAAACTGGCCAAGCTGGCCAGATTTTGTCAACTGGGTTAAATGTTTATGGAATCTTGATATTTTTTTTTAAAAGATCAACGTGATGTTATCTTTTTGCTGAAGAGCACAGAATCAGTTTGACTTTAAGTGTTCTATTAACATCCATGAACCAGCATCTTGTAGAGAAATTCACAAGTGTAAATTAACCTTATGCATGTATATGGGCCTAAGAAGACAGCTTATTGGGCCATCTTCGGCGCAGGGAAGGGAAGGGGCAGCCGCATGCTCGGCGCCCCATCCACCTCCAGAGGTTGTCCTCGGAGCAGCCGGCCCTCCGCACGGCCAGCACTCTGAGGAGGACCTCCCGCTGCAGCGTCCAGACACACTGTGGTGGAAAAGTCACCAAAAGTGCACCGCAGCCTTTTGCGGCACACTTTCAGTGACATATGAAAGGAGCGCTAATTTAGCGCTCCTTTCAGGGGCGATGAAGGAGTGCCACAGGATCAAGGCGTGGGGATGCCTCGGTCCCGCGGCGCACCTTTCCAGGGCGGCCCACAGCTGCCCGTCTGCTTAGGCCCTATGTCTTCTTCTTCTTCTTCTTTTTCTTCTTCTTCTTCTTGTTATGGAGGTTGGTATGCTCGTCCACTATGAAGTAGCCAAATCTCCCCAGAATTCATAGTTTTGCTATGATAGCCTCCTCTTCGGAATGGCCATTCTTTAGCTGGCTAGGTCCTCAGCAGACTCTGACATAGCCAGATGTTACTCCTATCCTACTACCTGCTACTCACCAGCCACAGAATGACTGTGAAGGGGGAGGATATTGCAGAAAAATGCTTGTCCTGGGGTGGCAAATCAGGAGCTATATCAGAGTTCCATCTGCAAAACTCTTCCATCTGCTGGAAAATGTCAGGTCTCAGCCATTGTCTTCAGTTGTTTCTATTTTCACCTTAATCAGGGAGAGGCTGCAGAAACCAGAATCCTACTCTATGCCTACCTTCTGTTGTAGACAAGGCTTGCCATATCCACCCTTTTAAATGGGCCAACCCAGAACCCTAGGGAAGAAAAGTTCCACACAAACCAAAATGTTACCATCACCCACAAAGACACTAGAGATTTAATTACATTTTCATACATTTTCTAATCTTTAATGAGAAATAGTGTTCCAGCATTTCATGGCATCTTGTTTTTCACCCCTGTGCAACAGTGAAAACACCAGTCATTTTTATCCAGCAGCAACAGCACTAGCATTTTTTTCTTTTTGACAAAACCCCATGTTTATCTGTAAAAACACCTCAACAAAATTGCCACAGAAAATGCCCCAAATTGAAAAATCAT